CCCACGTCGCCGATGTCGCTCTCCACGCTCACGCCGCCAGACTCCCACCCAGCAGCTCCAGGAGCACGGTGTCCACCCTCCCCTGCGTCCTGCACAGCACCGCCATGAGGACCAGCAGGGACGGCGTCGGACTCCAGGTTGGCGTCGCACCTGCCGAGCGTCTCGGCCTCCCACGCCCACCAGCGCGCCCCGCTCATCACCGGTGGCGGCGACAGCGCCGGGGGGGGGCTCGCGTGCCCGCGCGGCGCCGCAGGCGTCCTGGGCGGCGGTGCAGAGGCGTCGCGGCACGCGGCGCCTGCAGAGGGAGGCGATGCGCTGCGCGCAGCGCGGCCGCGCCCCACCGCCACCTCCTCCCAGGCGGCAGGCGCCGCGCCGTACGCCGAGCGAGGCGCTGGCAGCCGCCGACGCAGCGAAGGCCACCTCCACGGCGGTCTGGGCCTCCGCAGCTGCACCGCAGCCCTGCTACGCCCCCCCCTCCTGGGTGCGCGCCTCGCTTCACGCTGAACTCGATTGAACCCCCGTCGGGGCATCGCCCGCACGACCGCGGCGGGGAGCGCGGGGTGGTGGGAGAACACGCTGCGCCTGCCCACCTCCATGGCGGTCGCGCCCGCGCCTGCGACGTCCGCCTCCAACACGGGCGCGACGAGCGCCAGGCGCTGCACGAGCTCAGTCGCCACGGCTTTCGGCTCGGGAGCACCGCCTGCGGCCCCCACGCCATCGGCCGCGGCACCGCCGCTCGCCGGGGCAGAGGCGGCGCGGGAGGCAGCCAGGGCCGCGGCCTCGCCCGCCGCCACCGCGTGGCGCAGGTCGGCTTGCAGGCCCTCCACGAGCGCCCCGAGGTCGAGCACGCGCCGCAGCGCCGCCGCCAGGCGCCCGGCCGCCGCCCCACGGGCAGCACCCTGCCCAGCACGCCGCGCCGGCCACGGCGACGGCGCAGCCGCTGTAGCCTCTGGAGGCTCCGCCGCCGCATCGGCCGCCCTGCTCCCGGCCGCAGCCACCCCCTGGGGAGCCATCGCACCGCGGCAGAAACCCAACGCTGCCGCCCGCCTGGCGCCCAAGCAGGCATGAGCCAAAATGGCTACGGACTTTCTCTCTCTCTCTCTCTCTCTCTCTCTCTCTCTCTCTCTCCTCTCTCTCTCTCTCTCTCTCTCTCTCTCTCTCTCTCTCTCTTTCTCTCTCTCTCTCTTTCTTTATTTGTTCTCTCTCTCTCTCTCTCTCTCTCTCTCTCTCTCTCTCTCTCTCTCTCTCTCCGCGACCCAGGCACCAGCCCATCTTTGGGGCGCGCGGCTTCCCCGGAAACGGGCCGAACGCCCTGGCCGCACAGCGAGGGGGGCGCGCCCGCACGGGAGGCATTCCTCAGTGCCCAGGTGGAGGGCGGCAGCCCACGTGGGCACCAGCGACAGGGCATGGGCCCAGGGACACATAACTAGATAGACACACATCCCAGGGATCCCGAAAAGTGTCTATACTTGCTGGGTTCTCGTCGCCCCCCCCACTTCCCTTATGTTCCCATAGTTTCCTGGAGGTTGCGTCCTCTTCTCCTCCTGAATACCCTTAAAAAGGCGACGCGTCGGGGCGAGAAACAAGGGAAGCAAAGCAGGACGGGAACTGGAAGGCGGAGGGGGCGGGAGCGCGGCCGCGGGGTCTGAGCCAAGTGGCCACACGGCCTCACCGTTAAGCGTCTGTTCTGCCAATATACATGCAGACCTACAAACACAAGCGGCACGTGCGTGCCCAACCTCATACAAAAAATAACGGGGCCACAGATGGGGGCGCCACAACTTGCGACTGAACGAGATGCGTTGATCAGCAGCGACGTGGGCATGAACCAAGCAAAACTTACTTAGCCAGGCTGCAGAAGTTCACTGGACGAGACCAGAACAAACGATATTTGTTTAGCACGCGTGTGCAAAACCAATGGAATACATTGTGTGTTCGAGGGCTTCATTGTGCAATTGAAAACCATGTATGTCTAACAAGCATGCGCAGCACAATGGAAACAACGTGAGCGCGATGTTCTATATGACAAAATGTTAAGCTTTTATTACCATGGTGCGTCCGATTTTCCGAAATACGTAGCACCCCGCAGTCGCGGATAAGAGTGAGGGGCGGCGGAAGCGGCGGGCGAAGCCTTGCGCGCGGGCGCGCGCTGTCAGAGGAAGCAAAAGGAGCAGCAGGGCGAGGGCGGAGGAAGAGGGCGCAAAACGGGGAAGAAGGGCGAGCAGCAAGTGCCGGTGGTCTTTTCAAGTCAAGGGATCCGGCAGGAATCACGGGCCTGCTTGCACATGCGCCACGTAAGCCTGCGCCACGTCTGCAGTGCGCGCGCGCCCCCAGAGCCCTGCTTCGCTGGCCTCGCCAGCCCGGACCTGCACCTCCATGGCGAGAAAGCATATCGCACCGCCTTCCCGGGCAGCAGCGCGCTCTGCAGGCACCACTGGACGCTGTCGCCAGCAATGCGGCTTCGTCTTGAAATCGCAATCATACCAGCAGTTGCCGCCAAGAGTGTGGACCCGCATCGGGCACCTAATGGACTCCTTGTAGTCATCTGGGATTCGTACAGGCGCACCGCATGAAGCACAGGCATGAAATGATCCAGGGCGGGCTAAAATGCTGGCCCGTTTTCCTGCATTGTGTCCAGCGAGGCCGCCGGAACCCCGGGGAAGATTCTGCACGCGATGGATCCGGTCAGCTTTCGGTTTAGCCTTCGCCTTAGCCTCCACTTTGGGTGCCATGGTGCAGGAAGAAGCGACTTGGGCAGAGATGACTACTGATGAGTTGTCCCTTCCCCCGTCCCCCCAAGTGTAGCCCTCATGTGTAGCCCCCAAGTGTAGCCCCCATGTGTAGCCCCCAAGTGTAGCCCCCATTTGTAGCCCCCAAGTGTAGCCCCCATGTGTAGCCCCCACGTGTAGCCCCCACGTGTAGCCCCCAAGTGTAGCCCCCAAGTGTAGCCCCCAAGTGTAGCCCCCAAATGTAGCCCCCAAGTGTAGCCCCCAAGTGTAGCCCCCAAGTGTAGCCCCAATGTGTAGCCCCCAAGTGTAGCCCCCAGAGGCCGTGCCCTCCATCCAGCTACGCGCGCGCAGGGACAAAGAATGACCGTTCGGGCCCCCTCACTCTGATGAGTCCCGAGCGAAGCGGTCAGAAAAAACGCGGACAGGACGGGGACTCCATTAATCGCCTCTGGGCAATACTCCCTCGGAAAAATGCGTAATACAATGTGTATCCGCAACCGTGCCTCAAGGCGCGACTTGGAGCGTCTTCATGCAATGTGGACCCTCTGCCTTGGATACCACAAATTAGAAAGCCAGCGACCCCAAGTTGCCAGATTTACCGGGGTGTCGCAGACCTCGTGGAGTTTCTCGCGCGACTTGCCCAAAGACCAAAGGGCCCGAAGACGCCCCAGGATGACCTCCAGACGGCCCGAGAGGCCCCCAAGATGCCCCAAGAGGGCTCCAAGAAACTCCCCGAAAGGGACCAAGAGGCGAAGCCGTTGATTCTCGTGAGGTGTTGAAAGATGTTAGCATTCTCGCCGTTCAAAGCTCTCAACGCTCCAACCAAGACGACCCACGAGGCCCCCGACGATGGTCCAACAGGGCCGTCACACGGCCTAGGAGACACCAAAGACGAGCCCAAGAGGTCTCCTAGACGGCCCCAGGCCGAAGAGGAGCCCAAGACGTCCCAGAAGGCCCTGAAGACGAGCCCAAGAGGCCACCAAGAGGGCCCTAGGAGGGGCCAAGAAGACAGCACGACCTGACCTGTGAAGCCCTCCACCCCCAAGATCCTCCCGGAGGCCCGAAGAGGCCCCTAGGCGGCTCCCAAGAGGCCCCCGAAAGGCCCCAAGAGGCCCCCAAGAAAACACTTAGAGGCCCCGTAGATCCCTCCAAGAGGCCCCCTGAAGACATCCCAAGAAACCCGCCCATGTCTCCACGAGGCCCCTGACCCACATCCCAGACACGGTGGCGGGATGGGCCGAATGCCACTGGACAGAACCATGGGGCAGGAAAGCTTTTACATACTGCGTCACGGCCAGCCGAAATCATCGGCGATTGACGGAGGCGATCACAGTATCGGAAGTGGGGGATTGAGCATGAAGTGCGGCATATCCACCACCGTGCCTCTGGCATGAAGTGGAGTGCCCCAAGGCTCTCCCCGCGAAAATCCCGCCGAGGGGCCCCGAAGGTTCAGAGCCCCAGAAATCAAAAAGATGGCACATGGGGTCCTCAATTCTCACTACAGAAACCTTCAAATGAAAACGCCAAATTTCCGCGCCCCTGGCATCGCAAACCTTGCGGTTTCATCTGGATGTTTGGGATTGCTGGTGATCGGAGCTCATGGGAGGGCTTCTGGGCTGGAACATCGCTGGAAGGATGAGAATCCAACAAATCACCCGAATTCAAATGACACCAAAAGTTTTCCGCACCCCTGACCTGGCAAACCGTGCATTTTCACGCGTGGGGATCGGAGCCCACGCACTGGGAAGCCGACCAGCGAGAGAGGGGAAAGAGAGAGAGAGAGGGATAATCAAAAAGAGAGGGAGGGAGAGAGAGAGAGAGAGGAAACAAACAATAAAGAAAGAAGGGGACTGAGATAAACAAACAACGAGAGAGAGAGAGAGCGAGACAAAAGAGAGAGAGAGAGAGAGCAAGAGACAGGGACAACAATAGAACAAGAGAGCGAGAGAGATAGAGAGACACCAAAAAAAACGAGGAGGAGAAGGAGGAAAGGAAGAGCACCACCATCGTTCGTGAATGCTGGTAAGAATGGGTGTTCGGGGTCCGTGCGTGTGTATGTATATATGAATATGTGTATTTATACATATATATATATAAATACATGCATACATACAGATGTATGAATATATATATATATATATATGTGTGTGTGTGTACGTGTCTGCGTGTGGGGGGGTGGGAGAAACAAAAACAAATGTTTTGCCACACTCCACCTCCTGCCCTGTGCGTGGGGGCTGCACTTCTGCCGCCAGGCACCCCTGATACGTGCCGATGTACGCGCCCACGGCGACGCCAGCAGCGAACTGCCACATGGCGGTCACGCCGAGCCTCGGCTTCTGCTGTTCCCATCGGACGTACGGACCGCATCCCCGAACCAAATTCGAGCACCAGACACGCTGGCAAACTGTTGAACGACAATACAATCGCCTCCCAAGGCCCGACACGTGAAAACCCTCCATTTTCTGTTCTTCCCTGGTGATCGACATTTTCCGAGTAATCAAGGCTAAAGTAGGTCGGAACATTGTAAACCTCAACCTGGGCACCTCGACCAACCCGATTTTCCGGCAGCCGTCACTTCCACTTCGTGACCAGAGCTTGCAGTGAGGGCATCGGATGAGGGACCGTTGGATAAGGAATCCAGGGTCCGGAGGCTGGTGGAACTCCGATCGTGGATTGGCCATGGATATCGCCGCCGCCCTCATCAGATAAGGAATCCTCCAAGGTCTGAAGCCTCCTGGGCACATTCCTGAACGAACGCCCCCACCGTACATTGACCAAATGATGACAATGAACAAGCCTAAGATGTGAGCCAGCGTGGACCCAAAATCGAGTGGGTCTAGCAATGTATAGTGTGCAAGATGTTTGGAGCAATACATGTGGTGCAGTCTGGGTGGAGCAATATATGTGGTGCAATCGCTATTGTGCGATACAAGTGGTGCGCTACATGCTGCGCAATATATGTGGTGCAATCTACGCAGTGCAATATATGTGGAGCACGATAAGTTGTGCAATACCTGCTGTACAATATATGTGGTGCAGTATATGTTGTACCGTCTATGTCAGGTTGTGAAATATATGTTGTACAATCTATGTGTGAAAATATATGTGTTATATTGTGCAATATACGTGCGGCAATATCAATATATGTAACGAAATCTATGTGGTGCACAGTGCACGTGATGCAATGTATGTTGTGCGGCGGCGATGGCGACAATATAGCCGCCAGACCGCAACCCAAACCCAGACGGCAGGCAGCGACGAGACGGCGACGGGGCGGCGACGGCGACAACGTAGCCGCCAGACCGCCACACAGGCCCAGACGGCAGGCAGCGACGAGACGGCGACGGGGCGGCGACGGCGACAACGTAGCCGCCAGACCGCAACACAGGCACAGACGACGGGCGGCGACGAGACGGCGACGGGGCGGCGACGGCGACAACGTAGCCGCCAGACCGCCATACAGGCCCAGTTCCTTACAAAAGAAGCTAGAATCCCTGAGTGTAAGCACTGTTTAGGTAAAATGAGCAGGCACGATTGAAAACATAGTTGTGTCTCGTCTAGGTCGGTGGCTGCAGCCTGGTGGCCTCGACGGCGACGACGACGACGACGTCGGACTAGGAATCTGCTTTTGTTCAGTCGTCCACTTCCAGGCGGGCCGCTGCGACCACCCCCCCAGCAATTCTTAACCGTTCGGTCGCATTGTACACCTCAACCACCTCGGAGACCGTCCCAGGACCCCACTGGATGGCTCTGGGCCCTGGGTAGGGGGGGAAGATATCCATAATCTGCCTCCTGGGGTCGAGGGACATGAGTTCCCGAGGCGGTGGATCTATGAAGTCTGGCCTCGCGTTCACTACCCCTGCAACGCCCGCGAAGATGATGGTTGACGTGGTGATTACCTGTTTCCCAAGATCGGATTTGGGGCACCGCGCGTTTCGTCGATCACAACTCGCCGATCCGTGGCAGGAGTCCCATCAGCTGATTGGACACGATCAAGCAATCAGAGGAGGTGGCACCACGAGAATGCACCAGACAGCCCCGGCTCTGCGAAGCCGTTACTGGCTCCGCGATGACCTTGTACCAAGACGGCTAACAAATCATTGCGGTCGCGGCGGGCATTATGGCGACAGCATACGGAAACTCCACTGCAGCGTTACCACTATCGGAAAGGATGGTAAGACTGATTTCTCTTCAAAGAAATTTCCGGGCCAAACCCCAGTGACGGATTGCAGGAATCCAACCAGCATCCTCAGAAGACAGTACGGCTTGTTCGACGACGCCAAGATTGAGACAAACTGCAGATAACATCCGTGTTCGAACTGTTGTTTTTGTTTACAAGCACTTCATGCGACCACCTACGGCCAAAAAAATCGCATTGTCAATCATCAAACCTGACCGGGCAAGAACGGCAAGCGCCGCTTCTTGGGCTGAGCCCTTCTACGCGGCGACATGGGACCCTCTTGGCGAGCCTTGGAATCCTACTGGGGCCCTCCCGAAGACTCTTGGGCCCTCTTGTTGCATGCCAGGGGGCGATTCACGTTGCGACCTCTCATCGTCTCATCGTGGGCATCACAAAGCTGGTCGACAACTGCGCTATTCCGACATGGCACCTCAGTCAGCAAACCCGACCGCGCAAAAACGGGAAGCCCCGCTTCTTGGCTGGGCCCTTTTAGGCGGCGACGTGGGGCCCTCTTGGAGCCACTTGAGGTCTTACTGGGTCCCTCCTGGAAGACTTCTGGGCCCTCGTGTTGCATTCCAGGGGGCGTTTCACGTTGCGACCTGTCATCGTTGGCATCACAATGCTGGTCGACAACTTTGCCAACCCGAGATGGCACCTAATGGAAACCTGGTGCCAGCTCTGCCAGAGAGGGTGAAGCAAAAACATGAGGGAGAGTACAGTAAGCCTATGCCGGCGAGAACGATCCCGCGGGGATAATAAAGTTCGTGACCCAGAAAGGATAATGTGTGTCCTGGGGATATCGATATCGATGTTAGGAGGTTTGGATCGTTCTTCAAGAGCATGATGGAGCCTCCAGGATCCTTCTTGAGGGCCTCTTGGGAGATGTGGGAGGAGCAGAACTCCTAAGAAATACGATGGTGAAAAGGTACATTGGTCACTCTCGGGGCGCCTCCTTGGAGATGTGGATGAGACTCAGATATAAAGGGGTTTAGGGGGGATACGTTATATCCGTCGGAATGCGGATACCCTATTCGCTACCCACACCAAACTACCCCAAGGAGTCCCAGGACTTGTGCGCGTCCCTGGGCCCGAGGGGGATACGAAACCTCCATGAGGCACCCGTCGGCAGACCGTGGGGAACCGACAAGAGATACCGACACCTCTGCTCCCCGGACCTCTCCCAGGGGCGCGCCCGGACGAGGCTCTCGGGGCCCGGCCGAGGCGACGAGGGACGGACAGCGGCATCGACAGCGAGTCCCCCCTCTCGCACAGACGACTGGCGCCTTTTTTTTGTTCGCAACCTGGCTCCCTCAAGGTATGGGCCCCTTCCCCTTGGACGGGCCTCTCATCCAGAGCCGTTCGGGCCCACCACACTGCCCGAAGGCTGGTAAGAACCGCTCCTTGCCCAGACATCCGACGGTGTGATGTTCTTAATGCGTGGCCCCCGAGGTCCCGACCCCCTCCCCCGCGGCACTGTGTTGTCCCGGGCACGTGTTTGGTGGCCCCTGGGCGCCAGAGAGACCGAAATCGAAGAAAGACGCCGAGATTGAAAAAATCGCATCGTCGGCAATCTGGGTCATGACTGCGCAGGTATTCTGCCCGGCTCTGAGAGGTGTCTGGTGAGTTCTGGATTCGAGCCCTGGTGGCTACGGTTCGCTCAACAAACGCACGCAGTAGATACATGCATGCGTGCATTCACACATGCTGATACGCGTGCAAAGTGTTTGCAAACACGCTCCGCAGCGGCAACGAGGCAAGTACGACGATAAACTGCATCGCTGCCACTGCAGCGCGTGACTGCACAACCTAAAACCGTCCCCTCGTGACTTGGCCACGGCGCGAGGCGAAGCGAAGCGAACGCCGGAGTCGTGCGCGCTTCTCCGGGGGAGCCCGCCCGTGCCCACGAGGGCACGGCGTGGAGGCCGTGGCCTCGACCAGGAAGATCGCTGAAGTACTCAGGCTTGCGAAACGTATGCCCGCTCACAGGATGTCCACCACTCGGTGCACCAAGCGGCCCGGATGCATCGTAGGTCGTTCGTGTTGCTGTGCGCGTACTGTCGTGGCTGGGTTGCTGCCCTGTTCTGTTCCTCTACGGCCTCGCTGTCCAGACTGTGCAGGAAGCTGCGGATAGCGTCGTCCCATCGCTTCGGCCGTCCCCCATGCTGCCGTCGTCCACGTTGGCGTGTACTGAGATTCGGGTTCCAGTCGAGCACTCTCCGGGTCCAGCGCGTCGTGTGGTGGCGAGCCACCGTATTCGCCCATCGCCATACCATTCTCCGATGCATGTGCAATACGTCTGGTACACCGCGCATGAGCATGAGTGATTCCGCCCTCCGCGTGCTTCTGCGGATGAAGTCGGACCACAGCTCCAGGTCGTCGCCCCCCCTGCTGCTGGGCTGCGTGTCCTCGTTGTCGTGGCCTGCGTCTTTCAGATTGAGTGGGTTGAGAGGGTTGCTGCGTACGTCGGAATCGGTGGAATCGTTGGAGTCGTTGGAGTCGCTTGGACTGGTAGGTCCCTTGCCGTGGTGGCAGGTGTTGTTTCGGTCTGCTGCTGGGTCGTGGTGCTGTGTTGGTGCAGCTTTGCGCCTCCTCGGTGTCCCTATGATTATTCTGATCATGCGTCGTTGCGTTCGTCGTAGCTGCTGCTTGAAGGGTTTTGTCAGAGTCCAGGTTTCCGCGCCGTACGTCATAGTAGGGATAATTGTGCCCTTGTATAGTCGCAGTCGATGTCTCAAAGGGTAGCGTTTGCTGGTGAATTCTTGTCGGTGGCCGCTAAAACACGCCCACGCAGCTTGAATATGGTGCTTGATTTCGGTCGCGGGGGCGTCGTTGAAGGTGATCGTCTGGCCTGAGTGTTTGATGGTGCTGGTTCGTGGTAGGATTTCGATGTCCATCCCTGCTACTGTAGACGCCCGGTCGCGGTTGCGAGGCTGGTTGGTCATGATTTTGGTTTTGGTTGGGTGTAGCTCCAACCCATGTGGCTTGGCAAATGTGACCAAATCGGAAAACATCCTTTTCAAATTGTGGTGTTTGGCTGGTCAGCAATATGTCGTCTGCGAACCGGAGGTTCGTGAGTGTAGGTAGAGTCGTCGGTGTGGCCCAACCGAACGCCCCGGGGTTTCCTCTGCCAGTCTGGGACCAGCGGTGCTAGGATATGTTGAAACAGGGCGTTGAAAACTATTGAACTCAGCGGATCCCCTTATTTTGTGCCGCGGCGGAGGTCGAAGGGTCTGCTAGGTGTCGGTGCGCACCACGGCTGTCTGGTCGCGATACAAGCGTCTGAGAAGGTCCACGTACCCCTGCGGAACGCCCTGGCGGTGTAGTGCTGCCCACAAAGTGTCGTGCTCAACTGTGTCGAAAGGTTGTTTTTAAGTCTATGGCGGCCGCCCATAGATGCTGGCTCCCACTCGAAAATGCGGAACAAAATATAACGTCACGGAAAAGCACGACCTGAGACCTAGGCCTTATACCCTATATTTATGCTGTATTTCTTGAGCCGGATCGATAGGTGATGGTCCTGGTGCCCGAAACCTGCGGAGGACGCCCAGCTTGCAAAAATGGCAGCGCCCCGATCTCGAGGCTGTGGAGTCTGGCCCTCGCACTCGACGCGCCCGCTGCACGACGGCGCGCTTGCGCCACACCGCGCATGTTCGCGCGGGCGCCAAACGGTACCGATACTGCTACGGCGAAGGCATTGGATAAGGAAACATTGGGTAGGAAACCCTGGATCTTGAAGCCAGTGGAGCTACAATCGTGGATTGGCCACGGGTACCACCCCCGCTCACGTCAGGGTCTCGACCCTCCTTTCCTTAACGCACGCCCTCACCGTGCTCCCCAAACATCTCTTGGGGCGCATGCTGGCCTCGGGAACCCGGGTCAGCGCAACCCGGGTTCCATCAGGCCATGCAAAATCCTGCAAGATCCTGCTGGGTCCCACAGCATCCTGCAAGATCCGGCGGTCTGACTGACCCCCGTTTGCATGGACCCCCGTCTCTCGAACCCCGATGGCCAGATCCTCGAGAAGAACTGGCCGTGGCGGCGAGAGCCCTCCAGGACGAGCAGCGGCGTCGTTCCCCCTTCCTCCTCCAGCTCAAAGGCTGGCCCGCTCGCTAGACAGGATGCAATAGAAAGCAGGATGAGGACCATGTGGTAAGAGGTTTGGAAATAGATGTAGGATGGGGCACTCCAGGAAATTGGTCAGATCCCTTTTTTGCCGATGCATCAGTGAACTGCCGATCTGCTCTTATGTATAAGTCGAGGGTGGTAGGAACCGAGCGGTAGCATGCGTCAAACTTCAAACGACTGCGGAAAACGTGCGCGCCCAGTCGGCCAACGCCGAGCTGAGTCCGCGAAGGCTTAGCGGCGTACACAGCCAGCCCACGCCAAGCTGCGCACGCAAAGTCTTAGCGGGCCCCGACCTGGCCAAGTGCCAGCGACGGGCCAGCGGGTCCATTGCGGGGGGGCCCAAAGCAGCATACAGCGTAAAAGAATATAAGATCACAGGCAGAGTGCAAAAAGACAGATTTTGTCTTACAGCGTGTCTCCACGCATAACAGAAGCATTCCGCCAGTTCATCATGAGCTGGGCTTAACCTTCGAAGTCGGAGCCCTGTAAGGAGTAGAAATCTTCAACTCGTGCTTAAAAGATTGCGTTCCCGCCATTATCTGTAACAACAGGTCCCGTTATATGCTGCCTTTGGTATGTCAATCGGCAGTCATATCCCGTGTGTCACACCATTGTATGCTGTGTACGATAAGTATGCCCATCATCTGTCGCATCCAGCTAATATGTCCTAACAGCGTACATTATGTAGGCTTCTTAAGGTCCTTCCTGGATTACGAGTAAAATACCGACTCAGCATCAATGGTAAGGGAAATGTTGATACATAGACCGCCCATCTGAAATATATTCTTGAATTGCGCAGGTGTGAGCGGCCTGGCTTTTAACCCATGAACGGAAACATTGTCAGGGTAGCAGTCCTCTGAGTTGTGGGTTGCTGCGAGCGCCTCCGCAGAGTATTAACCTTACCTGCAGTCTATGCGACTTGCAGTAGGCATATTTACCGTTACGCGCGAGTCCACGCCGGAATTCGCCGGCCCAACGGGCCAGAGGCGTGCTAAGATCT